ACTTAAGAAAAATTTGTAAAAAATAGAAAATATCATTATTTTTTAAAAAGAATTATACCGTATCGTGGCAAAATAAATGATCTTTCCGATTAGGTAATTATTTTTTGTCTCAGATTGATAGAAAGAATAAGATGGTTTTAGAAAAAAGGTCGAAAAAATCTGAAATTCTTTAAGCTCAATCCGATAAGCTGCTCGGCAGAATAAAAAGCTAATTGCGATATCAGAATATAAATCATCAAAATATACATTGTCATCTAAACTAAACGTGTATACAAAATTTCAGCACAATCGATTGAAGACATCATCTTCAAAATTGAGTTGCAAGATTCCACCGGAAAAAATTACTTTAATTAATATCTACAATATTCAAATTCGAAGGTAAACAAATGTATGCGACTATACGACTAGGTGTATCTTCTCACGAACCGCACGACGCAGAAATTCGCCGAAGGTACCAAAAGATTGGGAATGATCCGAGGAATTCTCTCTCTCGTTTTGACCATTTATATTCCGAAAGTACAATTAGTTAAAAAGATATTAATTAAAAACCTTAACACGCATAATTATTGCCATTTTTCCCGCCAGGCAGTGAAGTTCCGATTTCCCGACAGCGAGAGGGGAAGGGGAATTTCCATGACAATATGTTAGCCATTTAAAAATGTTCGTGCAACCCCGGGAGGAAATAAACCAGTCTGACAAAGAAAAGAAGCGAAAAAATTTCAAAACAGGGAATTTCAAGTTATACACTCGGTAAAAGCCCGAACAACGCCGGGCTAAGAGGAGGAGAGGGTGGAAGTCATTTTGAAAAAGAGTATTAGAAGTGCTGATTTTGTGAAGGAAAGGAAAAATTAATAAAAGTGGAGAAAGCCCGTGCAACGCCGGGCTAAGCAGCTAGTCTTTTTAACTAAATGTGATATCGGAATATAAATAGTCAAAACATGCATCGTCATCCAAACTAAACGTGTAATAGAAAATTGTAAAATTCAAACGAATTTCAAAAGCATTTTACCCAATCAAATAATAATTGAAGGCACGTTGTATCCATCCCCAAACCTCTCACATGCTGAGCGAGCGCTCTACCATCTGAGCTACGCCCCCGGTGCACACCTTTGTTATTGTAAACATGCTCGCCTTAACATCTGAACAAGATTGTTACAGTAACTAGGTCGATATCGGAATATAAATCATCAAAACATGCATTGTCATCCGAACTAAACGTGTATACAAAATTTCAGCTCAATCGGTTGAAGACATTAGCTTCAAAATTGAGTTTTAAGATTCCACCCGAACATTTTACATTGCAAGTTAAATAAAAGCTTGTAAAAATAAATTCAAGTATTTCCAAGTGACATTCTTAACTGACTTCATAGAAGGCTTTTTGGTAGCGCTGAAGACGTCATAGATATGTGTCTGTTTTGAATTACTAATCATTTGAAAATCCTATCGTGGCATATGTGATCGGGTAAGTTTCATACTGTTGCGGATGCTATATTCCTGATGTTACCAGAAGGATCTCAACAAGCCTTGCTAGCTAGGAATGTGTGTGTGTGAACATGAGAGTTTTTTTACCTCACACTATAATTTTGAACCATGATCATATGGCGAGGACAACACCAGCGCTGGTATCCCATCTCCTACCGTCCACATTACACCAACGGGAAGAGCCCACAAGCATTCATTTTTAGACTTGCATTGAAACTAGAATGAAATATATGTAAAATTTCAGATGAGCAAAATAATACCAAGGAAAATGTAACTGTTTCAACTTTTTGTTAGTTATTATAGCTTTCGCACATTTTATTAACTAACATACTATTCTTCATACAGTTTCATTAAAAAAAAATTTTTTTTATCAATGCACAAGGATATTTATTAATATGCAACGGATATTGATCTTTAAACAAAATTCATTTAATTTTATTTCGAAAAAATAAAATATATAAGGCAAATGAAGTATTCCCAAGGTTTTAATCATTTTTAAAAACAGGTTTCTTAGAGTTTGTTGCTTATATAAAAGGTAAAATTTCGCCACAAATATATTAAAAAATTAATTGAATTGCTGATTTCTCTTTTGAAGAGTCTATAAAAAATAAATAGTGCATGAAATTCGAGGAATCATCAAAATAAAAAGTTTATCCGCATGAATAATTCAGCAGAATTTTTAAGCGAAAAAATATTTAAGGAAAAATATCCTCTTAACCATTAAAGTGGTTATTCGAAGGAAATTTTAAAGCGCTTTATACGAAACAATTTCTTGGAACATTAGACGATTACAATGAAATTCACATTTTTTTAAAGCAATTCTGTTTCGCAAGATACAGTTATTATACTCGTATTTTATTGTATATTCTGCAAAAAATGAATAAGTTGGGCAACCAAAAATTTAGCTTCCGTTTCTATGGAAGAAATTGCAATTTTGTTTTAACGAATGAGATAGTTTTATCAGTATATTTTTTGAAAAGGATGATAAAATATAACGACTCCCTATTGTGTAATAATGAGAAATAAATTAAATGAAATTGTCATATTAAATAAGTTAACAGAACTTCTTTAAATACCTAATGTTTCTTCAACAGCATAATGCAGTTCTAATGTATTTGTCTTTATACCTAAATACTAAGAGCTTCAATAATGCCTTTCACTTAAGAAATTCTTATTTTTTAAGTGTCGTGTTAGTTTAAAAGTTTCGTTTAATATTAATTATGTGTTTCAAATAATGGCAGAAGCATGTAAATGGAAACATTTTGGAATGCTTATATTTTTTCACCATAAAAATCATTGTAATGTATGAATTAATTATTAAAAATGTATTGCCTATAAATTGTGCTTATTTTATTAATATATATACAAATTTAAATGAATATTTTCCTTTATACTTTAATATAAAATACATTTTGTATACATTTTTGCATACATACATTTTGTTTTTATCAGAAAGTTTCTGCAAAGAGAAAACTTGGCAACACCGGTGCGCGTGAACTGATTAGCTGGGAACACTAGATAGTTTTTATCGCGTTTGATTATGACGTCGCAAAAGTTTTCGAATTGATTGGCTAGAATCACGTGGCTTTCACTATCATGTGACTATAATGAAACATGAATTGAGTGGCCGCGGTAGCCGAATGGTATGGATATCGGATCGTGGCTTGCCTTGTCCCGAGTTCGAGCCTAGTACCACTTAAGACCCGCCGTGCAGGGCAGCGATGCACGTTAAATATGTCGAGAGCTGAAATGTCCTCCCTTTGGTGTTGTGTGGTAGTTAGGAGAAGGGGGGGGCCAGCTCAGGTGTCGTTCACGTCACTTGACCGTGGTTCACAATAACGTGGTCCATCACCAAAAACCCTCGTGTAGCTGAACAGTGCGGTGTTAATACTCAATCAATCAATCATCACATAACTTGAGCCTATTGGGCAAGTGCTATTTGATATCACACTATGAAGAAACACGAGAGCTATTGGTGAAGGATTTCGTAAATTTGAGCCTTGGTCAAGTGACAAGGACGAAACCTGAGCTGACTTCCCCTCCCCAAATTACCACATCATGCCAAACGGAAGAAATTTAAGCCTCGAGAGATTTGACGAGCATCATCTACTCTGCATGGAGTGTTCAATGGCTCTAGGTCACGAACTCATGATACGTTAGTACTAACGTTAGTACGTTTAACAGTACTAATTAAGCGTTTCCGATTATTATGAAAAATATAACATTTCCTTCATTTCTAATTTATCGATTTCAACATGAAAAACGAACTAAAAATAATAATAGTTAGCATTATTAAAGACAAGAGAAATTTTTTCTAGCTGTGAGTTTGGGTCCAGTTTAAACTAAAGAAATTTAGTGTAGAGTAGTTATTGAGCGCTAAATCAGGTCGTACAGAATTTAAAAGACGCAGTAGACTAGTCGTTATGGTCACAAACTCGTTGCCAGTGTGTCATAAGTTCGAAACATAGGGCCTCTGTGGACCTATTTGTAGGACAGCCTGATGCACGCTGAACCTTCTGAGGCTGTAAGTCCTTACGTTGGCATGGTATGGAAGTTCGAAAAACGGATACCAAATCAGGTATCATTCTTGACCATGATTTTATGGTCATGGTTCAAAAATATGAGGTTCGTCACAAATAGCCCACGTAATAACTTTAGTTTGAGGCTAATAAACACTCATGCCATTCTAAGCTTACAGACTTTACACATTCGATGTTATGAATTCAAGGCGCGTGTGGTGCCATTTTAAATTCATTTCCTCCATTTTGGCTGCAGCTCAAAATTATGAAATGTATGATTGTGGCTAGTAACCCTTGTATTTAAAATAAGTAAGATGAAAAATATTTAATAAGAGTAAACAAGCAGCCTCCTTTAGGATTAAGATACATTTTTTATACCACAATATACACTGATGGTCGTTAAAATTGAAACATTATGAAAGAGAGCAAATACAAAAAAAGTATTTATTACACATAAACAGAATGGCATGAAGGTAAAATGATTACATTTGGAAGCAGTTTTGGGGTTTACAAGTGTGTGAATTTAGTAGAAAAAGCGTCCACCTCTGGCAGCTAAAACGGATCTTGCCCGATTAGACATAATTGAACTGTGTGAGCATGGATGACAGAAAAGAACAATCGATTCGATGTAGTTTTGTCTATGCCACACTTTATCAAACGTATTAGCTGTAGAAGGGTGGTGGTCCAGTTCCTCAGCAACCCAAGACAAGATGTTTGTAATGGGTGATAGATCTGGAGACCATGCTGGTCAGAGTAACAATCGGATACCAAGTGTACCGAGTGAAATGTCAGAACATGATATGTAGTCTGGAACTAACTTGATGGAAGATGGAGTCTGGCATGCCTCGAAGATGGCGCACAACCACTGGAAGTCAGATGTAAGAAATCTACGGATCTGCGTTCAAATTATCATCGATACGAAAGAGAGATGCTTTTGTCGTTTACTTAATGATTACCCAAACCATCGCACTAGGTGCAAGGTCCCTAAGTCGATATCTGATGCAAGCATGTGACGAGCGGTCTCCTCGTACCCTCCAGACACGTATACGGCCATCAGAATACTGCACGCAGAATCAGGATTTGTCTGAAAAGACGACAATGTGCCACTCATGTATCCAGTTTTGTCGTTGGATGCATTAGAATCACCACCTCTTCTGATGCTACATTGTCAAGGGAAGTCGAAATAATTGCAACCGTGTTGACTGCCCATGCTTCTGCAAACGTTGTCGTACTGTACGAGTGGATACTGGGCGGGCTGCAAACACGCCCATTTTTTGACTAATGGTCCGTGACGTGTTGTACGGTTTTGTATAGCTGACCCCACAATCTGATCAGTCATTTCTTTCGCGCGTTAGTAATAGGAGGACGTGGAAATCTTTCATGCGATTCATTATTACCCTCAATTGGTTCCATATTCGCATGGCAGTGGCTAGGTTTCAACCACGGGCGATAATCCATGTGACGGGTGATATCAAGGAACGTTAATCTACACTCTCTATATGCAACGATCTTGCCTCTGTTAAATTCCTGCACTTGCGGGTATGCTTTTTCTACGTATTATTCGAGGCATAACACGATATTCTGAGCAACTCCAACCTTACAAAAGTATTTCCGAATTAGAAATTCTCCACACAACTTTTATTTTATGCAGTGCTTCAAATGTCGTTTTTCCCTCCTGCGTAGTCTAAATTTCATTTTTATAACCAACAGACTTTTTTTTCCCTTTCGTGCGGTTTGGACTTTCGCCGGATCATTCCGTCATGAAGATGCAATTTTAATGGCCAGCAGTGTACTTTGAAGATGATTTTTCCTTCATAATTTTGTAAACCTAGTTATTTTAATAAGTTTCACCTAGATACGTAATTAGAAAGTTAGGAAATTCAATGCATTTAGAGAAAAATTAATGTCTATGAAAATAACTTTGTTTAATTTTATGATTTATTATTACTTAAAACGAGTTCATTCTTAAATCATGACGATTTGTTCATAGAAGAATGAATTGCTTTATATATTACAAATAGATACTTCACACCGACTAAAACAGATTTAATTGAGAAAATTCAGAATAATTGTTTAATTCTAGAAATCCACGCAGGG